CTCTCTTGCGCCCCTCTCTCCTCTATCTCTCTCTGTCTCTCTTCTCTCTCGCTCTCCTCTCTTGCGCCCCTCTCTCCTCTATCTCTCTCATCTCTTTCTCTTCTCTCTCGCTCATCTCTTTCTCTTTCTCTCTTTCTCTCTTTCTCTCTCCCTCTCTCGCTCTCGCTCTCTCTCTCTCTCTCTCGTTCACACACGCATCGCTGAGCGTAGAAATTCTAGGACGCGGCCTAGCAAGTCGGCATATACATTTTATAGACGCGAGCGCGTGGCGGGTGGAACACTGGCGGAGTGGCAGAAACACGCAGACATTGGTCCAGTATCACGCTCAATATCCGTCGTATTCACCGAAGCCTGAGTACTGTAAGATGAAAGTAATTGTGGATTGCAAATGACCGCCGAGCTAAGCGTGTGTCGGGGGCATGTCGCATAATAAAGGCGAGCTAAGGCAAGCAAGAAATGCGGCGATGCGCTCAGAGTCGATTGATCATAGGGAGCGTCCTGGCATTTGGTAATGAGACAGACTGTGCCAGTGTCTTGAATTGCGAAGCGTCTCATAATCAGATCGAATTAAGAAAAATTAATTATCTCCCGTTTAATCATTGATGTTCGACCTTTAACGTTGACCTTCGTAGTGAGTATGCCTGTTTTAAATGTGACCCGACATCCGTCAATTGAAGAGGGAATGTTACGTCGTTGAGATTTCTCAAGCTATTGTTTTTAGACTTCGATCTCATACTTAGAAAAAGTTAAAAATGTTAATCGCATTGTCACTTTTCGCTCTTCCTGAACTTTGGCCCGTGACCCTAGTTTTGAACTGACGCCATCTATTCGGACTGCCCATCTACACGTTAAATATGAACACATCAGGTGAAGCCGTTTAGATGCGTGTCATGTTCGTAGACGAATGCACGAACACAGAGACGCACCACGAACACTAGTATCGACGCCTGACAATGTCGAAAGACCTGAAACAGACGAACACAAAAAATGTGGATATCAATTAAGGAGAACAATGTAGGAGTCGGGAAATCACACGTAGGCGCCTGCGGATAGGTTGATAGAATTAAAGATAATAGGAGCGTAAATAGAATGCAATTAAAGCAGTTTAATGGGGAGGAAATTAGAAGACGGAGTCGACGAAGGGGGTCGGACAGCGCGGGAAGGGGGTCGGACAGCGCGGGAAGGGACATCGATACGTGGACGGCCCAAGGAGTGGTTAGGTTAGGTTAGGTGGGACGCCGTGTGGCGCACCGGCCGCGTCACATAGACCTCCCGCGCGCGCGCTCTGACGGCTGTCCGCCACAAATCATCGCCAACGTCTCACGAACCAGCCCACGGCGAGTGAAGAAGAAGAGTCGGAGCATAGATTTCCCGTCTCTCACGCGAGACAACGGCAACCACGCGCGCGTATAACCGTTTCTTCTCCCTTGAATCAAGGTTGATTTATTCACCGCCGCTGCCGATGAATATTCATGACGCCTTTTCTCTATTTTGTTGAGGAGGATAGACGATATCACTCGTTGATATCGAGTGAATGTCGTCGTTGCGCGGGTAGCCATTGTTAACTGTCGTCGATATACCCACACGGCAGACTAAGTCACTTGTTTGATTTTTTGACCTTTTTGACAATGCGAGTGTCTCGTCGTAGTCAATGCCCAGATGCCGAGAGTTCAGCGGCGACCTCTATAGATTCCTTATCGATCTCTACCCTAAAGGTCACTCTGCGATCCCAGGTTCGTCAACACTTGTTTTGCTTGCGGTCCCATTGACTACCCGCTGACATATGCCCTGTGGATCACCAGGTGAGATGTGCCCTGTGGCCGCCAGGTAAGATGTGCCCTCTAGACCAGACGGTGATACGAGATTTACAGAGCGCTTCATCGCATCGGCTTTATACATAACCTGGTGGCTTGTACCCTATTGACCACCTAGTCACACGTGTCCTATACTACATTTCCCGATGGCATGCGCCTTTAAGAATACTCAACGACAGATATTTTGAGGACCACTTGATCACAGGTGCACTATAGAGAAACTTGGGACATGTGCTCTATTGAAATCCTGGTGACATGTATCCTTTAGATAACCAGACGACATATGTTATATATATAATTATATATACATATAATTATATATACATTATATCATACTCTGGTAACACATGCTCATAGGTTGCCGCATATTCCTACGCGTGTATTGAGGTTGTTCTGACGCCTAATTAATCGGTCATGGCTGAAGTACTATTTGCCAGTCGACAAGTGTTTGCAAGCAGAGTCTAATTAAGCCACCACAATGCAGTCAACAATAAGTGCTCATTATCTAAAAACACAAGAGCATTTTTTCACCAGCTAAGCGGAATTTAAGTGTTTTCCTTGAAAGGACAACCGTCGTCATTACTCTGAACGGTATGTTAGATCAAACAATGACCATCTTTTTGCTCAAGCTTTTATACGAAATAAACTCCCTATAGCTACACATATCGCCTACAATGTCCGCGTTCATAGCACAACGGGCGTTTAAAAGCCAGCACCAGTAATTCAAAAGAAGCAATTTTCTCGGCTCAGCAATGCTGACAATCACGGACAAAATCCCCCCAAACGGCAGTTTTGTGAGTTGCTCTTCCGCGTACCATCTTCCGCTTAGAAACGACGCGCACGATGCCGACAACATATATCATGTTCATTTAAACCTTCGGCAATTCATCGGCAACCAATTAGCAAGCGGAGAATAGAAATGTCCACGGGGAGAGCGCGCACGACAATGTCCGTGCCAACGTTTTTTTTTTCTTCATTCGTCTTCGTCGTTGGCAAACGTAGCAGCCATTATCGACCTCGCCCGACCGCGAGTGCGTGCACCAGGAGCGCCGATTTGGAATTCTCTCAAATAGAAGAATAAATTATTGTGTTAATTCGCACGTTGTTCGGCTAACGACGCTTTTCAATCGTGATGCTGCGAAAGCCATTCAAGTAAATGATGTTGCCAGACAGTCTAGTGCGGATAGACTACGTTTGCTCAGACATGCTCCACTTTATCGCGCCCACTGGCTTAAAAAGCCCACACACGGAACACATGGAACGGTAACCCACTGGCCTCATTTAGAGAAATGTTCCCCAGAATCTCATCTATACATCTTCGTTATCAAATTACCAGGGAGGGTGGCGTGCAGACATACGGTCTTCTGGTTTTACCTCTCTTTACAGTACCTGCCTTATAGTGTCTGCTTGATTCCCTCCATCTTTCTTTACCGCTACTCGTTCCCTGTCACTCGTGCTCTTGCCTACATCTCTTATCCGCAACCACCTTCTCTTCCTCTTTTTCCCCGTCTTCTTTGCCTTCTAGCCGTACCGCCCTCACCCCCAATGTTCTATGTACACGTCTACTCGCGACTATACTCATAGCCGCAAGAAAGCGGCTGTGATATGCACACAATTCATCGCGTACAGCCAGCCTCACGGCACCGGACCGGCATAGGTCACGGCAATGTACTCATCTCTTCTTCTACATGGGGGGTAGTGCAGTGAATGCTCGCCCCGCTGAGCCGGACCATGTTTCTATTTCGCACACGTCAGCGATATATGCAAGTACTTACGCGGAGACGGGGAGAGATCGATGGACGCGCTGGCAGTGATGCTGACACGTCCCGTAGGAGGTGAAGCCAGCGTTCGCTGCCTCACCTTGGTGCAGTAGTGTGCTTGGTGCGCCTCCAACGTACTGCCGCTGCTGAATCGGATGCCGCAGGCATTGCACGCTGAAAACAGACAAAACAATGCAAACTATATACGACTAGCTAAAAACAGCCGACGGCGATACTCGACTTGCTTTCGAGAAAACACTCGTGATTTCGTCGGTAAGTGAATACGACATGAATCGATGGGCAGTCTGTGTCATCGCGTGGCCTGTGATATTATTTCTCGCAAGAACGGACGAGCGCTTGTGTCTCTGTGCGTGATTCGTGCATCATTACTTCGTCACATCACATGGTGGGACTGTGAATGCATGTGGCACATGTCTGCACTCCTTCCTATACGTGCATGGCAATAACGAAGGGCGGGCGTGCGTCTGCGTCCAGTACATGCATTCGGAGCGATACGTTGACATTATACCAGGAGGCAATTTGCGCACTGGTTGACCGTTTCGCTCAGAATGGAAATTTCCCAGGTTTAACCATATTACGGGAAGCTCGGCAGACATGCCTTTTAAAACCAACTCAATCATGAGTACCCAAACCCTTCCCCCACCCACCCCCAGCCTCAATCATGAGTACCCAAACCCTTCCCCCACCCACCCCCAGCCTCACTGCCAATTACAGCATACCTAACTACAAAAGCTTAAGAGAAAAAGATTTAAGAGTTTGATATTTTTTGCTTTGGATTTATTCTAATCGCATTGTCTTGTCCATGCTTTAAAAAAATTCCCATTGTGGCGACATGTGTCTTTCCTCGCCGCATGCATGCGTTTCTAACAACCCTTAGGCTATTAGCAACCTGAAGTCGCATCTTAATGCATTTGCTCGTGAGCGGTCATTCCGTAGCAAGAATCGTTAGTTAACCATCGCAGACGCGCAGCTCAAACCGTGCCGCGATAAAAAATCAGCTTACACGTGACTTAGCGAATCGCGACGGACGAGGGTTAATTACACTGATACGGTTAGCCATGGCGGATCCCACGGTGCGCGCACGCAACGCCATCTTGCGGTATACGGGGTTTGTCCGTATACACGCGCGCAACGCTCCCTCCCCTGTATATGGGTTTCAACAGTGGGACGCACTTCACTTGCACTGATATCCTCTCTGTGACAGCTGACCTGTCACAAGCAACTGGCGCGACTTAGACGCGCCGTGTCACACTGCTGCGACTCATGCATGTACGCGTGGGGAGAACGTTCGGGGACTAGCAATGGCGAAGGCGCATTTATGACCAATCAATCATTTACAATCCAAACGCGTATATGTATATGGAAACTCGATATCTGGGTGACAGAACTAAGCCAAACCAAACAGATTGTCATGTGGCCAAACAGACAGACAGACGGACAGACACACGGGCAGACACACGGGCAGCTAGCAAAACGGACGGATGAACGGGCAGACGGACGGACGGACAGAAAGACAAGCAGACAGACGTACACGGATACACGAGACGGACAACACGTAAGCAACCGTGACATGTATCGCCCAACCAGATTTGTTTACAAAGAAAACTGCGCGGTTTCTGCCATTACGCAACGACTCGCAAAATTTTCAAATCGCCTGCGCGTTACTTAGTTATTTTACTGGAGTGTCTCACGCGTTTCATGCCGCACGACGGCCGCGAAGAGAAGCTTGTCTCTAGACTATATTTCAACGTTCAACCAACGCTGAATATACACGAACACAATCACTGTATCGCGTCGAATCTGCCGGAATAAGAAATGCGATAAACATAAATTAGATGTAAGCGCGGATTTATTCTGACAGATCATGGGCTGAGTAAAGGCTGGCAATAGCCTCATTCATAGTCGGATAGCGCACGAATACTGATACACATCGCCGATGTAATTTGCCTGATCGATGTGAAATAGATTGGATAACGACAAACGTAGTGCGCGAGAGCATCGTACGGCATTGTCGATTATAAATTAATCGATTATGAGGTCGTGCCGATGTTGGTTCAAAGCCGCATTCCAATCGTTCATCGGTATTTTGCCCGCGTCGCCAAGTGCATCATAAATTCCCCTTCGCTCCCAGAGAGGGAGCTGCTCACCGACCGTCGGGCGGATAAACATACGTAATGCTCGCGGCGGCGGCCGGAATGATGGATGGATCGGTGTGCGAGAGATGAGAGAGCCGGAAGGATGCATTTCGCGCCGCCGAGCTGACGGCTTGATTACGATTCTCGAACACTTTTCGCATTTTCTCGCGCGCCATTCACGCGCCCGACGCGCTATACGTATGAATCGCCGCTGTCATCGGCATCTTTAGCAACGCGACGGCAGACGCGGAATTCTAAAGTGACGTCGTCGCCGTCGCCGTCTCGACACAATGGAGAGAGAATCGCGATCATGGTCGCCTCTGCTATAGGTTGCGACGAAAGCGCGCGAGTGAAGCCCGCTGCACGCCCACGCGGCGTCCGCGTGTGTGCAGCGACCCAGGGTCAAGGTCAGAAGACTCTCTACGTGCACTTTTATGTTATTATACATTTGCAAGACTCTCGATGTGCATCTTTACTCACATCTAACCGAGCGGCCGCACGTCCGGCCGGACGCGCGCCGACGCTATGCATATGTATGAAACGATTGAGAACGTTGTGACTGCGGAGAGACGTTTTGCTTGTGCATGAGGCGGTTCTAGTTTGCGTCGTCGCAGTCGAATATCCGCATCATTTGCGCACAGTCGGGCGGTCGGAATGAGTAAATCTATCGCGACCCACCTGGGAATCTAATATCTAATCTAACAGCTTCTTTTCATAGATGTACATACTATGAAGACGATCAGTAATCGGCGCACGCCTGGCCGGTGATAGATGGTGCTCTACGTCGCCATATGATGCGGACAGACACGCTGGTGTGTGCAGCAGACAAGCCGGCAGCGAGAAGCGCTCGCAAGCCGTCATTGCGCGAATGAATTGTCCGCTTTCCGAAAACGACCTGCCAAAGCTAATCCCGCAAGCTTTGCAAGTGGAGAATAATGAGGTAGACCTGGGAGAATGATGGTGAGCGGAGGGGAGAATAGGAGCAGTATAGGGGAGGGATAATGAGGGCGAGACGACGAGAGGAGGAGGAGGAGGAGGTAAAGGAAGAGAACAATTAGGAGGGAGGCGAGAATGTAGTGGGAAGGTGGAGGAGGAGCATGAGAAGGAGAGGAAGGAGTATGTAAGGCGGAGACATGCATCTCCGTAGCATTCGCTATGGGTAACGGAGAAGGGATAGGACTGCATTCCCGTATTTGGCATGTCCAGTGGCCGGAGGAAGTGGAGGAGGAAGCAGAGAAGGAAACTATAACGAGAGGTGACGTAGAGGAAAAGGGCGCGGCGTATATAAGGACGAAGCCTTGCTTCTCGGGGCTCTTGTTAGAAGACACCGATCGAGAAAGGTGTAGTGTGTAGTAACCGCTCTTGCTTTCGGTAGTGCACGGAGACTTCATGTATTGTATCAGAGATTGAGTAAACATCAGTGAACGTTACTTCTTGTCTTGTCTTATCTCTATCAGTCTACTACAGACCTTCTACTAAGGTAGTGCGAATCACGTGTCTACAATATGTATCGTCTTATTCCGCCTCGCTGTTTTCTCCTTGTGTACGCACACAGACGCATGCGCATTAACGCTGCGTTTGTTTCATTTGGTCGCAACAGCTTCGTACAATACTCCAGTTTCCAATTCCCGAATTTGCAAAATACGGTAAATATAGTGGGAAGCCACCGCCACGCAATCACATCTACCGAACTACCAACCACGACTTTTTGCGTAGCCTATTCAAACCAAAGACAGAATCCCGATGCAGTACAAACAAGAAAAAAATACACGCGCGCGCGCACGCACGTTCGTACGCGCACACATACACTCCGCAACGAGCTGACGGGAAATCTCTCATTACTTCTCTAAAACAAACGAATTTCGCAGATTACGACGAGAATAACTAACCCAAAGCTTTAAATCTACATGCACGGGAAGATGCGGCTAGTGAGCATACACCCACTGAGCTACGCGGCACAGGCTGTGCCTGCTTCGTTAGCTCCTGCTCGCTCAACCATCAGCCACGGAGTCTATCTACAAAGAGCGGCACGACGGATGAGCAGCGATCGCCATTCAGCGACGATGACGACCCCTAGAGGCGAAATCGCCCATAGGCAAAGGCAGCGTGCTCACGTTCCGACTCGCCACTCACGAATTCACTGACAGCAATTATGTATGGACGAAACATCACGGAGAAGATTGCAAAAAGCTGATAAATGAAGAAAATGGAGTGAATTGTTGATTATTGGCAATCCCGAGTGTGGCCTCGCGGGTTAGGGCTTCCATCGAGTCTTCTTCCCGAAGATCCCAAAGTCTGCGTAGTGACTTTGGCGCGCGCTAAGAAATGCAGGTTTTATTAATGAAATCTGACGGCGTTTATTGAATCTGCTGGCCGCGACTGTTGACGCACTTTGCCCAATTGTTGGGGTTAAACATTAAATAAATCCATCGATTGACACAACAGTGTCGCAGCCGCCCGAGCGGTTTTGCCACCGCCGCCGCCGCCGCTCTATTTTGTTTTAAAACTCTCCTGCGATTTAAAAAGAAATTGAGGATTCTACGCCGCGAAATCGCCTCGTGTTTACGCAAGCGAAACAGGACGTCGGCTTAGCCAGTTCAATGAGGTAATTGGCTGATATTTTACACCCCTGTCTGGCGAGATTAGACGACGCTCGGCACCGGTCATATTTGCCGACGTCCGCGCACACACGGGCGCGCAATTTTGCTAAAAGCTCTCGCCGTTTGCAAAAATGAATTTAACTGCTCTGCATTGGAATTAGACGAACATGCGCATCGGTGCCTGACGACGCTCCCACTGTAACGCACCTCGAAATCAGGACACGCACCACTTTACATTTTCGGAGAGGCAAGCTTCGGCGTCCATAAATGCAGATTTCTTGCGTGGATATCCCGTCCAGTGAACACGGTATCTAGCGACCACCAACGACGCCACGCCCCGCGAAATGTTTCGGCGGGAATTTGAGGCAATCATCCGCGCTGACGAAATGAATAATGAATATGCTGATTGCGAGCTGGTGGCAAATTCAAGCATATTCCGCATTCCAGCGTCGAACCGCAAAAACGCAGCCGGGAAAGCGAAGCAATCAGGAGCACGAGAAGAAAATGAGAATGAGAAGAAAGATAGATGAGTCCGGGTGGAGATGAGCGATGAGGCCACACACAGGGAGGAGGGTGACGATTATGAAGATCACGAAGTTGCCAAATAAGCGTATACATTACGTAGTTATTAGTGCGATAAGAATAATACCAAGTTATTGCACGAGAATTGCTGATATTGTGTAAACAGTGTAAAGTGAACATGTTTGCGAATGGTGACAAGAGAGATGCGATGAGGATTAAATTGAGAAAGCGGCAGCATAATATGAAAGGACTTTAAGATTACCGCAAAATGCTATATAAACTACAAACCAGGCAAAATTACTCAAACACTTGTTTCAACAAGGATTCTCGCTCCAGTTTATAAATTACCAAGCATCGTGACTG